ATCTCCTCGACTCTTACGTGGTGAAAGTGAAAAACGGCCAATGGCGGCCTATTGAAATGACATATGTCTACCAATTAACCGTAATTACTACCGTTAACCGTTTACCGTTTACCGTTAACCGTGTTTACTTACCGTTTTCTAATCTATTTGGTTACTTGCTTACTTGGTTATCTGCTTACGTGATCACCAACTTACTTGGTTACTTGACCACCTGATTACTTGATTATCATGAATCACATGTTATATGAAGCTGTCCATCATTATTAGGTGAGTGTGTACTTTACCTCACTCGACCTACTCAAATGATGAATTTTACCTTTTGTCGAATTACTTGGTTACCTGTGCATGTTGTAAGCTCTAAGCTGAACTTGGGCCCTACCCTTGGTTACTGACCTACTCGAGCCAGGACTGGGCTCGGTCGGGTAGGTTGGAACCCTGGGCCACCGTTTCGGTATACTCGAGTATTACCACTGGAGGGATAAGGCGATGGCCAGACCGTACCGTGGGGATCAGAAGTCATAAGGTGCAGATGACCGACAGAGTTCCACTGGAACACCGTATCCTACCGTATATGTTTACCTTGTATCATGATAATTGTTTCATGCTAAAATGTCAACATGAAATCCTGAACTATGCCTGTGATATGCTCCATACCTGTTACCTGACCAATGTACTTATATCATGATACCTGTCTCATGATAAATGTCTCAAATTACTCGTACAATGATTATCACCTCATGATAACACGCCATTGTGTAACATTGAACCATGCATATGATATGCCCAACTTACTTGATTTATTTGAACTGTTAGAGTGTATTGGAACCTCACTGGGCTGTGTAGCTCATCCCACGTTGTGGTTTTCTTTTACAGGGTTCGAGACCAAGGGTGCTCGTGAGTAGTACTAGATTGTTTTCTTTTGAAAACTTTAAGTTATATTATAACGGATGGCTATTGTACCCTTTTCCGTTGGGTTGTATTTAAGCTTGGAAGCTGCATAATTGTAAGTGTGAGATATTTGGAGTACTTTAATTATGTATTGAAGTTACTTAAAGTATTTCGAGCTTTTGAATGATGGATTGTAGTGAGTCCTGGCGAGAGCTGGGCAGGCGTCCCGCGGATACCCTTTGGTTCGCCTTAGGGAGAAGTGGGGGCGTTACACATTCTCCTCTGATTTCTCTCCGCCGTCTCACCTCTATCTTGCTTCCCCTCTTGTTCTCTGCTGTTTTTCTCCTTTTTTTTTCAAACCCCCCTTTTTGGTTTCTGTTCCGCCGTCACTAAAAAAATGCTCTCCTCTTTCTTTTTAGCCGACCTCCCTTTTTAATGCCTTCCCCAAAAACTCATCCTAAAATGAAAGGTCAAGATCTCCTCCCCAAAATAGGTTCATGTGTCTTGTTTTTGTCCTTTGATTGATTTTTTGAATTTTCATTTTCTTTCTTTTTTTTTTGTTAATGCTAAAATGTCTAAAAATGAGATTAGTAAAACCAAACTAAAATAAATATCAATAAAACTAATAATGAAAAATAAAGTAAAAAATTTGGTATCTACAAAGACGATTGCTGCACTTTTCAGGAGGTACGGTGTCTTGCACAAAGTCTCCACTTCTTACCATTCTCAGACGAACGGTCAGGCGGAAGCATCAAATCGGGAGATCAAGTTGATTTTGGAGAAAATGGTTCGCCCCGATAGGAAGGATTGGAGTATGAGACTTGAAAATGCCTTATAGGCATATCGAACGGCGTACAAGACGCCAATCGGCATGTCCCCTTATTGTTTGGTATTTGGGAAGCCATGCCACCTCTCCGTCGAGTTCGAACATAGAGCATTTTGGGTGGTCAAGCAATGCAATATGGATATCGAAGAGGGCGGAATTCAAAGGAAGTTACAGTTACAAGAATTGGAGGAGATTCGCAATGAAGCCTACGAGAATGCTGTGATTTATAAGGAGAATAATAAGATATTTCATGACCAGCAGGTTTCTAGGAAGACGTTTGAATGTGGTCAAAAAGTTCTACTGTACCACTCGAAATTGAAATTATTTCCAGATAAGTTACGTTCTCGTTGGATCGGTCTCTTCGTTGTAACTAATGTCTTTGATTATGGTGCAGTGGAGATCCAGAATATAAGGACGGAGAAGAAATTTGTGGTGAATGGTCATCGTCTCAAGCCGTATTATGATGGGCTCCAGTTGAACGGGTAGAGACGATGCATTTAGAGGACCCAATTTGCTTGGTTTAAGCGAATTATGGGCTATGTCTAGCCAAAAACACTAAAGAAAGGCCCTCTTTTGAGAGGCAACCCGAATATTGATTTTATTGTTTTTAGTTGTTCATTTCTTTTTATTTTGTCATTTCCTCGTTGGGTAGTAGAAATATTAATACTTTCCTTCATTGTGACTAGGAAGTGCAATCCTGGTCTCCTGAGGTCAGAGGACGAAGACCAATCTTGGCGTGCCCACGCGGTGTTTGTGTCTTCTGAGGTCAGAGGACGATGACCAATCTTGGCGTGCCCACGCGGTGTTTGTGCCTCTTGAGATCAGAGGATGTTTTGTAATATTGGCATGCCCACGCGGTGTTTGATGACCCAAACCATAAATTTAAAAAAATTATTATTATTATTATTACTTTCATTAAAAGAAAAAGAAAAGATTATTTTCTTTCTAAAAAAAAAATAATAATAAATAAATAAATAAAATAAAAATATATATTTTCTAGAAAATTTTTTTTTAAAAGCAATTTCCAATTTGGACGATTTACGGTGAAAAAATTTTCCTTTCTTTTTTCTTCTTTCTTTCTTTCTTTCTTTCTTCTTTTCTTTCTTCCTTCTTCCCGCTGCTCTCCCTCTTCCCCCTTTTCTATTCTTCTCACCCGCCACTGACCAGCACGCCGCAGTCGTCCACCACTGCCTCGCGAGCCACAGCCACTCCATAGCCTCCTCGCGCGCTGCCAGTAGCTCCAGTGCGCCACTGCCGCCTCTCGTCCAGCCACGAGCGACCACCGCCGTGTGCCAACAGCTCAACCTCCACCACTCGCCGCTCCTCCTCTCGTACGCCGTCGCCAACAGCCCCAGCTCCACCTAACGCGACCTTCTCTCTCCCATCTCCAGCCGCACGCCGCGGCCCACAGCCAGTGTACCGCCAGCTCGTCTCCACTCTAGCAACTCCATCGCCATCTCCAGCCCGCGGCAGCGGCTGACTAGCCGCTATCAGCCAGCGGCTACCCACTCGCGCACCATCACCAAACCATCGCCCACGCGCCTCCCGCCACCAGATCTCTCTCCCTCCCACGCAGCTCACGCTCCACCAACACCATCGCCGCCGCCGTCTTTCTCCCTCACTCATTCTCCTTCCACCGTGAGCTCAGCTTCCACCGCCATTAGCACCACCAGCTCCACGCCGCGCACATCTCTCCATTGCCGAACGTCACCACCTGTCCAATTTCGACAGGTGGAGATATTGTAATTTCTTCCCCAATTAGTTTAACTCTCTGAAATTTGTGTTTGGATTTCTTGATGGATAAAAAAAGGTGATGATTTGGAAATTTCTGAGGTTATTTTTGGGTTGAATTGAATTAAATTGCGGCTATATTTGGGGTGTTTTGGACGTGAGTTGCCAATTGCTTCTCTTTTGATTTCTGCTCATTTTGTGGCACTGCTTGGTGTGTTCGCATTTATCTTGATTCACTGGGTTGGTTCTTTGCTTTAATTCTTCCTTGTGCCTGCACCAGTGGTACTGGTTAGAGTGTTTTGAATACATTCGTTGATTTTATGTGATTGCTTGTCTGATTGCGAGCTAATAACCTTGTAATTCGGTTGTTGTTCGCATTTTGACCTGTGATTGCTGAAATTGCCAATTTTTGGGGTCATTTGCTACTTTTCACAGGTCACAGGTTGGATTGGGTAATTGGCTGTCCAATTGGAGACAGTTGTTGAGATCTTGGTTGGAGTTATGTCCAATTGTTGCAATTTGTTGTTTTGAGTAGACACTGACATCACTCTGGTTGTTTGAGTAGTTGTTATGGTGCATTAGTGGGCTTGTGTCCGAGTATTGTGGGTACTTTTCTGAGTTCATTTGTGAATTGGATATGCAGGTGCCATTTGCAGTTGCCTATTGAAGTAGTTGCCTCTATTTGCCTTGTTTGGGGGCTATTGCCATTTGCTCTGCTTATTCTGATTGGGTACATCTAGTGAGATTGTTAGGCTGATTTTATTCTGCTTTTGCCTTAATTGGGGCCACCAGTGGTTATTGTGACGCCCCCACATCTCCCTAAGGCGGACCAAAGGGTATCCGCGGACGCCTGCCCAGCTCACGCCAGGACTCAAGCAATTCCATTCAATTTCAAACCGAACTAATTCGATGAGAGCAACATGAATACAATAATGCGGAAGCGTTCAAGCTTAAAAGTCACTTAATGTATAACCAGTACATCGGTAATCATGAAACGACTTAAATTCAAAGTACACATCAGGGCCCAAACTTTCAAGTTTACAATTTCCAAAAGTACAACCCAAACCAGGGCCTAGTCAAAATATATAACAGGAGTCTTAACAAAATTACAACGGATGGTTTCTCCATATTTCTCCAAGAGTCGGTCCTGTTAAGGAAAACAAAACTATAGGGTGAGCTAAACGCTCGTGAGGCCAAGAACACACATGCAAGCACTTAGTCAAATAACAATCCCAACTTTAATAAATAAAACCATGTCTTTTCAATAATCAATTATTCAAACAGGAAAAGTAATCAGAAACAATTCAAGGATATAGTAGCTCTCAGGAGCTAAGTTCCACTCGATCTGCCGTTGTCATTCGTATACCTTCCCGCATTGACCCTCCTGTCAACCGGGTCGGTATTTCCATTTCCGTAGATCACCACTTACTTCCCTCCGTCCACCGTACACCCAAGGGCCCACAAGTCTATTATTGGGCGATACTCTACAGTATGCCAAGCAAGACCTCTTATTAGGTCGAGCTTATATCTCATGGCTCGTCCAATCCCCGACCAAGCCCATTGCTGGCTCGAGTCTAAGGACGGCCTATGAGTTTGGGCGTCCCCCATTCATTTGAAAGTCGAGGAGGTTCACTCCAACGACACAAGCATTCATGACATAACATTGCATTTCATTCATTCATTCAATACATTTCATTCATTCATTTGAAATTAGAACGAGTGCGATAAAGTACGCACCCCGCCCTTATTTTTAAAACTTTCAACAAATACACAATAAGCAAGTATCAAATTCATACACTTGACACTCACCGAGCAATTCAATAAGAATTATTTTCCGAAGTTCAAGTGTCCACGGTGAGATCCTCTTGAAGGTCTCCTTGCGCGCCTGGCAAAATAGTGGATAATCACACAATTAACCCACTTATCAAGAAAGATTGTACACTAGTACAATCTAAGAATTATTTTGCAAAAAGGAACCTCAATTACACGTAAATCGAGGTTCAACTTGCCTTTTATTAGGTACAATATTATTTGAGTTTTTATCATGAAAATCGTAAGCAAAACGTTTAAGAATATCAAAAGAATAAAGAGTTTTTGAAAAACTCTATTTCTTTGAATTGGAAAATTTTCAGTTTTATGATAAATCTTTGAAAAATCGTAACTCGCTCGGTATAAGTCGAGAATTGGAAAACTTTATACCGTTGGAAACCTCTTAGAGAGTACTATAAGTTCCTAGAAGACACTTTTCCATGAATCGAAGTGAAAGTGGTCAAAATGAGCTTGAAGATGCAGGGTTGGTTTCATGGCAGAATTGAAGTTGGATTTTGGCCAACTTTGAAAATTCGGCACGATTCGCACGTTGCAAACCGGCCTCTGAAATTTTCAGCTCAATTAGTGTTGCAAGTGAAGTGTATGAAAAAACAAGCGGATCAAGAATCGGAGTTTCGAGCACCGAGATACGGTAGCCCGAAGTTGAGCAAATTCAAGACTGGATGAGAATTTTCCAGATTTGAACCTCTAACTTTAGAATTTAATTGGTATCGAAACGAACTTGAATTGGCACCAAAATTGGCAGTATTTCAATACTATATGGAAGGTATCTCTCTATCGAATTTCGGGGAAAAATACCTTCGGCAAGGTAGTTAATGAGCCAACCGAAGTTCAAGAAAATCCTAAGGCAATCTGCCTTTGACTTTCATTTCCCAATTTCAATCGTTTAACCAAGAAAGTTATCCAACCATGGTTCATTTGTGAAATAAGGGTCTAAGATACACCCATATATCTTTGGTAAGTGTTTAATATCAAAACATCAACTAACAAGTTCACTCCAAGATTTGGTTCCAAACCAGTCCAACATTAGGGTTTTCCAAAACAGAGCAGTCCACTTGTTTCAGTCACAACTCAGTCATTATAGCTCGAAATCGAGCATGGCTTACGCCGTTGGAAAATACATTCATAGAGTTAAAATATCACAGAAGAAATCATTTCCAAATTCGGCACCCATCTGGTTCAAATTCGGGCATCAAGTTGCTGCCTGAACACTTCATTCCAGATGAACAGAGCAACAGGACAGCGAACTTAAAACATTTGGTTCGGCTTGCTCACAAGAATCAGAACGTGCATTATATACCAAATTAAAGCTAGGAATGTCTAGTTTCAAACGCCACCGACGGCACATGATTTCGACATCCGAGGACAGAGTTATAGCCAAAATACTACTGCTGGTCAGAGCATACGCGAATCAGTTTTCCAGATTTGCTGGTTTCGAAAAAAATTCATTTGCTCCATCAAACCTCAATATTTTCAATGAAATTTTTCACACATCTAATACATCCTATAAACATCCAATTCAAGCCATTAAACCATTAAAATTGGCCTGGAAATGGCCGAACATGCAGGGGCAAAATCGGAAAGTTTAGCTTCTTACACCCAATGAAGTTTCCACTAATTACCCATCACTAATGCATCATTATAATCACTAAACCAACAATATAATCACCATTAATCATCACATCAGCAACAACAACCCAAGTGTGGGAATTCCAAGAGCCCACAATCACATTTTTACACCATAAACAAGTAACTAAGTGCATGCATGAGCTTAATCTTGCTATATAATCTCCAAAAGACAAGAATTCATGGGTTGATCATTACTCTTCCTTGGTGTGCAAGACCAGAAAATTTCGGCCCTCTTGAAGCTCCAAGAAACCGTGAAGATGCAGCCTTTTGTTAGCTAAATGAGTCTCCAAGTGGTT